TCCCTTCTTCCAGGAAAACACAAGTGTAAATTAGTTTTTTTTTAATAAAGACTATTAACTACATGCCCTTGCTCCCTTCTATTTTTCTCTCCCACCTTTTTCTTCATGCAATTTGCACAGTTCAGTGCATGTCAGACTTTTTTTTTGTTCCGAGCAAACGATTTCTTCCGCCCCCAGGTCGAGGACTCGGGTCTCCCGAGTCCTCGACCTGGGGCTTTTGTCTCATTCCCTGCCCCCCCCCCCCAATCCGCCGCGTTCGAATTCCACGCTGCATGTCAAAGCGCTCGCCACCTCGCCGCTTCTTCCGTCGCACCGCTGCACTTTGGAGTTCCGCGCCGTCGTCTCTGTTTCGCACACCCGAGGTTCTGGAACCCTGCTCAGTTTTAAGGGACGTGAACTTACAATTTGAACGGTCGCTGGTTGTCGCAGGCCGCTTGACGTTGTGGACATTTTTGGGCCGTGTCCTCGGCAACGGTGAAGGAGGGAAGGAAGACGAGGCACAAGGGCGTCTCGCTTTGACTGACGTTTTAAACTTTCGGTTGCAGTTCGGGAAAAGCAGCATCGCATCGATTACATTCGACCAATTTTTTTTAAACCGCACCCCAAAATGACAGCGAACGACTCCACTCTGCGCACAGTGTGCATCCCCGTGTTAACCAAACGCGATAACTCATCCTGTCACGCTGCCACCTGGGTTAGGTGAGCGAGATTATTGCCCTTCTATTCGAACTACCGGTGTGCTGGAGGGGGCACCAGTTTGTACATTTCCCACGACAATGCCACTGTGGAAATTTCACAATCGCCACTTTTTGTTGTTGTTTTGATGGTGCTTTTTGCCCTGAAGTGGATGGGGATGAAAAAAAAAATAACTTTTTCCGAATGGCGATTGACTCAGGGAGACCTTTGACCCCCCCCATTGCCCCTTGCAGCGCCATAACAGCCTCGCGCTGCGTCCTCCCGTAAGCCGCGGATCGTCAAAACGCTTTGACCTTGGCGCGCTCCCCTACGATCGGCCACGGCGCTGTTTGTTTCGATTCAAACTGCGCAGGTGGGGGCAGTGTGGAAATGACTCCCGGATCACTGCGTGCGGGAGGGCCCAAAGCCAAGTTTCAAAGAGTGGCAATTCGGGAAGACGTTTTGTCCGGCGATGATGTGCGCGGAGCTTCGGCTGGCTGCCTGCCCGCTCGCTCGCCCAGCCCACGCCAGCCACCTCGGCTGAAGCCCTCACGCCAGCGTGAGGTGGGCGGTGGGCGGGGCAGCCCTCTTTGTCTACTCTGCCCTCCCAAAGTTCCACATGGACATGGTACCGGTAAATAGCGGATTATTTATTTTTAACCAACTGAAGGGGGGCCCAAAGAGATTAAACATCTGAAGGGGTCACTTTCAGCAGTTTACAGCGGTTTCATTGCTTCAGGGAGCAACGTGTCCTCTGACCGAAGGGCAGGCGCAGCCTCGAGTGACCTTCCAGACCCGACGTCGCGCGAGGGCCATGTGGTGAGAAAAAACAAATCCTAAACCCTGTCTCATCATCAGCCGTGGTCAATCCACTGCTGGATTGAGGGCCTCCCCAAGCCGTGTCACCGTCACCACCGCTCGCGATCCTGCGATGTGGTAATGATCCCCACCAAGCATATGCCCACGATCTGAATTAATAACTCTGTCTCTTCGGTGGACGTTCATCACGTTATATTCTTTGGCTGTCACGTCATCATTATTCTTGACCGTCGGCCAATAAAAGTTATACAAGTCTGGACACGCCCACAGACAACCCCACAACTTTTGCTTTAAAATATAGGGGGGAGGAGAGAAATGTGTAAAGTATTATTATCCGGAGAATATATGGTACGTTTGTTGTTCGTCCCCCGCACCTGCGATTATCGTGGTTGGCTACGTATGGTGCAAAATAAATTCTGGCCGTGACGTGTGTCCTGCCCAAGCCCCACTTACATTTTGTAAGAGTTTAAATTACGTTTTACGTCTACGTACGTTCTCTAGTCCCACGTGTTCCTCTATCTGTCTAGCAGCATTATTGCAAGCTTGCTCATTTGTCTGTAAATAGCGAAGAAAACCAGGTTCCAGTTGAAAAAACCATTTGGGATGGTGAAGGCTTGGTAGGAGGCCTTCATCCAGCAGTTGCTAGATCATGGCTGATAATGAATTCGCATAGTCACCAGAGTGATTGTATTGGTGCTACCATTCACTTATGCTTTAAATAGTTTTGAGCAACTAAAAAAACCCCTACATTCAAACATTATACTGTCTTGCATTCAATCATTTTACAGTTGGTCATTAAAAGGGGGGAAGAAATGCATAACGTGTAATAAAAAATACACACCGATTAAAAGCTCTCCGGGTATAATCAATTATGCCTAATCAGCTCTGAAATATTCCGACCTGCTTTGCATGCAGCGTGCAAATTCCAGAGGAGCAGTGTGCGTTGCGTTTACCACCGCCCTGTGTCGATCCTCGTGCCACCGTAACGGTGCGAGCGGCTTCCTAGCCCGCCCGTGCACGGGGGGGGGGGGGGGGGGGGCGCTTGGTCGATGGGATCGTCGCATCGCAGGACCGTGCGGGACGGCGACGGCTTGAGGGTGGCCTTCGTCCAGCAGTGGATTGACCATGGCCTTGGAGGATGTCTCGAGCCTTTGTCAATTGGAGGAATTTCTCTTCAAATCTGTTTCGCTCCACTATTTAACCCGGTAGCCCCCCCCCCCCCCCCCCCCCATTGAGACTGTACGTCTCTCTATGATATGAGACCTTGGTGGAGGGGTTGGGAGGGAGGGGCAACCCGGCCCCCAGATGGCCCCCCAGATGGCCCCCCAGAAGTCCGGAAGCCGTGTGTGGGTCAAAGCAAGCTGCCGCTGTAGTGCAGGGCTTCAAAGGTGCATGAATTAATCGATGAAATTCGATTCTCGGGCTCACGGTTCATGCGTTGAATCGTAACAATTCTTTCCCATTCTCAATTCTTAAATTATTTTCAAAGGGACCCCTTGGAAGTCGTCCGTCTGGTGCAGGTGGTCGTGTGCACTTCGGTGCACTACATTGGAAGGTAAAAAAAGATTGTAAAATTAAAGCGTATTTTTTCATTTGATGACAATTGCTTGTGTTGCGATCGAAACGTCGTGATATTTTTTAAAATTTGTTTCTATCTACGTGGCTTTACCGAAATACCCAAAGAATATGAAATCGTGACCCTCGAATTACGGCAATGAATTGAATTTCAAGGCCCACCGAGAAGGGTGTTAGTTACGACCAGAAAGCGTGGTACTTCTCTATGCATTTCGCTACATCGGCTTCCCAGGCATTAATTTGATTAATCAACTAACATTTAGAATTGGGTGAATCGCACCTACCCGCCCCTGCAAATCGCGGAAACCCCGACAAGCCACGCCCAACGTGTCATGCTTGATGATGATGCTGGTGACGACGTCACCAAGCCCCACCCATCACCTCCGGTTCAGCGGCACACGTGGGAACAGAGGTGCGAGGCTTGCTTGCTTCTTTGCTGTGTCTTTTTTACGATGTGTCGAGTCATCAAACCGATGATTATCGGTGGAGGTATTCGATTGCTTAAAAATTCAGATGGCGCCACCTCTACAAATTCAGTGAGCGGATGAAGTCCGTCAAGTTGGCGCTTGTGCTTGGGGCTGTTGTGTTTTACGTGGCGCATGATTCCGCAGTGGCTCGTTGGCAGCTGGCAAAGACATATTTTGATGAGAATTTCCCTTCTCCCCTGCACTGCCACGGCGCTGGCAAACCTCTCGACGCACCAAAGCCAACATAAATATACTAACTATTGAGCAAGAACAAAATTTGATCGTGTGAATATTGGAGCATGTGGCATTGCGCAGGTGTGTGCCTGGCTCAGTACACTTGGCAGGGATTTGGGATTCTTTTTTGTTTAAGTGTTGTGCAGGTGGCCGTGCGTGGCACCTCGCATTCCCAAATTGGCGTTCGTAATTTGAATGCGACTGCAAGGAAACCAATTTCGACTCGAGGTCTCCAGCTTGTGTGTGGTGATGACACATGCAAAACCACTGCCGTCAGCGTAAATCGACATTTGGTGGCAGAGGAGGAATGCAAATCGGGAAGTGCGTGCACAACAACCGCCATTTGCCACTAAGTGGCGGTGACGTCACCACGACGTTTGTGCCAGGCCATTTGCACGTTAAGGCCACGTGAAGTGTCGAACGCCCGCTGGCAGGAGGTCAAGGGACAGACCCAGGTGCGCGCACTCCACTTGTGTCACCCGCGAGTTTATTGCGCTGAACAGGGAGGGCTTCACATCGGCTTGTATTATGGCGGTGGCTTTCAGAGAGAGGGTTTAGGTTATGCCATGGTTACTAAGATCGTCAATCGGTGGAACCGTAGAGTTGGAAACTGCTAGGCTGGAGGGGATATCGTCACCTCATGTGGTTGTGCAGTAGGTGTGTCTGGTGTCTCTGGTAATTATTGAATGTTCGCGAAATGGCACTTATAACATGTGAATGATTTGGTGTAAATTTCATTCCGGGTACACTTTCCATTCCCTCACGATAATTAATTCCATTGCAGTGTGACGATTCGTCACAGGTCACACGCCGTGCCATTCTTCCCCTCTCCCGATGCGCAGTGAGTTCCTGCTCAAATGTGCGTTGAGGCCAGTGCTCATACCCTGTGTGCAGCCCTGAACCAGTGGTGGAAATTCCACATTCCAGTGGTGGGGATGAGCCTGACTCTGGAACAACCGCTGATGACTTCCCCCACAGAGCGGCACCCACGGTGTTGTCAACCTCGGAGGGATGATGGGCTGAGGCAACCCCCCGACCAGGATTTGAACTCTCAACCTTCCGATTGCGAGCCGCTCGCTTCTACCGCTGATCCACTTCCACCGATATCGGCGATTCATTGCTGACATAATTTCACCTTTACCATGCTTTGTATTCCTATTTTTCCCAATGTCCATTAATAGATGCTGACAAGGCACATAAAAACAACTTTTTTGTGGTAAACGTTTACAGATTTCGTTGGCAGTGGCTCGCTCAGTTTGCTTCGAACGCTGCTCAAAAGCAGCGGCCAGAGAGAGAGAGAGGGAGGGAAAGAACGGTCGCAGTCAGCTACTGGGAGACGTGAGTTGAATTTCTTCTCGGACACAGCCCACCCGGACCCAGCGAGATAACTTTTGCAACGTCACGGGATGCTGTGCACGATTTATTGTTTTTATTCTTCTTCCCAATTAAAAAAGTTCCATAATCAGAGAGAGCAAGAGTAATTGGGTATAATTAAAGATGTGTGTTTTTTTGCCGCAGGAAAGCTTTTTTAAACAATTCCGCGGCTTGTACGTTTGGCGAGCAAATTTTCTAAAGCTGTGATTTGTGTTGTTTTATTTTATGTAATTTCATGCAAAGCTTGGAATTGTATAAAACCACGAGAAAATGTAACTGGTTGGTGAATGTGATAAATAAACATTTATGTGGCAGTGAATGTGTGAACCCAGTGCTCCCGGCTGCTTAATTAAATCTCGCACCGTACCTTCTACTTATCTATCCGCTTATCAGCAACAGATTAAATGTAAGCATGTTCCTCTTTCGCAGATAAATATTGTCTAAAAACACAGCGGCCTATGCGTAGAGTAAGTACATATATCTGTTTAGTTTCCCCTTCCTGGCTATCAGAAGTTATTTTACCGGTGGTATTTATTTATCTTCTTTTCACCCTCGTTTTTTTTTTGCTCCTTCCTTTTGCAAAAGGTGCCTTCGTGAGAGTAGTGGGCTTTATGAAGTCCTCAATCTCGCCTCGATTGATTTCGCGGGGGCTTTTCGCCCGTGGCCAGAAGCAGACCGGGCGGGCGGGGTGGCGGGGGGGGGCGGGGGGGAGCTCTTCGCCGCTTTCATATCAACGCCACCTCCGGGGATATCGCCTCTCCTCCGCTGTGCGCTCACCACGCGCTTCGCCAGCAGCGCTCACACGGCGCATCGGTGTGGCCCGGCAAGTGTGCTCCCCCCGCCGCCTTAACTGGGCCAGCAAATATCCCCGTCACGTTGTTCCGAGGCACCCCCCCCACCACCCAGAACCCACCACCCACCCCCCCCCCCCTCTTTTGTCCGTATTCTAGAGGCCTTCAGCAGGGGTGGGGTCCTCGCTCTGACCCAGAAATGGAGTTTGCCCTGCGCGGCCGTGGCCTGCCCGGGAATATACCGCGCGAGGGGAGGGCCGATTCGTCTGAAAGGAACTTTTGTGATCGCGGCCGCCCTTGCCGCTTGTGCATTCCTGAGCGCGTTTGATGGCCTCGTACGCTTAAGAAAATCCCGTCCTGCCGTGGCGCTTGTAATCGCGAGGCTGTTCTCCCCGCAGCCTTCGGATTGTTACCGCCTCTCCTCAAACAAACACAAACGTGTCGCGGAACTGCTCAGGTAATTACATTCCACAATGCGGTTCGTGATATATATATTTTTTCGTGCCTGATTTTTTAAAAATTTATTTTAAAAGTGACGGCTCTGATTCATACTGTAAAGCAATGAGATATATATATACACTGTGTAGTAATGATGTTAACAGGGCCTCCGCAGTTCTGTCATTCTGTCACGCCTTACATCAACGCTCAACTCCCGTCGCTCATCGTGTTATTGAGCGCTTTATGAATTATTACATCGGCGACCGCAAAAAAAATTGAATGTCACTTGGAAATGAGAATTAGACAAATCTTTCCCCTATCTCTAATGTTTATATATATTTTATGTATATATTTTTTTGGGTGCGATGTTGACGAACCAAAATAAATGTGGCTTCATAATCCTGCCAGCAAGCAAGCGCACTCGTCCCGAGCATCTGACTCTCTGGAGGCGACGTCTGTCCGTTGTTCATTTGCGCAAAGTAAAAATGACGAGTTCTTGGGTAGAGTCGCTGTTCTGACCCCGGGGGCCAGTCGACGAACGGCGTTCGTTCGCCGGAGCGGCGGCGGCGGTGGCGGCGGCGGCGGCGTTGGTATCGCGCGCAAAAGTAATTGCCGTTGACAGAATGAATGCGTCGTTGTTTACGCGAGCACCACGTGAAGGCTTGCCATCGTCCGTGCGTACGACGGCATCGTCATGAGGGGACAAAAAAAATAAACTCGTTTAAGCGTGCGTGCTCGTATTTTATTTTAGAGCCAAGCGAGGGACCCGTGCATGAGGAGAAAGGACACGCGCGAGACCACCGGATAATTTCAGTCCCTCCTCCGTCCAAGTGACTGCGTTGGAGTAGATTACATGGATTAAATTTGGCCTGGGATCTCGGTGACTGCCTTCGCTGTGCGGAGGAGGCCATAATTTCCCAAATGGTGGTCGGCTTGAGCTCTCTGCTGAGGCTCAAGGGGAGATTCAAAGCTGCGAGCGGATGTAGCAGTAAATGGGAAAGAAGGGCGGCGGTGTGTGTGTGTGTGCGCGCGTGCGCAGGTTATTGCTTCCGCGTGTGACCGTTTGAACCACTTCAGCTTTGTAGTTCAAACATCGAGCATTTGAAAAAAACAGGCTATTATTAATTACCATTATTATATCTTGATTTGAAGCTTTCGTGACTGCAGGAATTCAAACTTTTTGTTTCCTTAGGTAAAGTCACGTAGGTAGAAAAATAACTAATAAATCACGACGTTTCGATGGCTTGTGTTGCTATCGAAACGTCGTGATTTATTCGTTATTTTTCTATCTATGTGACTTTACCAAAAGAACCAAAGAGTACTATTATTATAGTTATTGCCGCACTTATTATGGCGTTGTAAAATTGGGACGTTGACTTTCAGTACGGCGGATAATTAAGACGATAGAGTGCTAAACGCATTTCGAATTGCCTTCGTTAAAATGCCGTTTTAGAGTATAGCACGTGGCGGAATAATTTTTATTCTTGAAGCTGTGACTGGAATGTGAAGTATTGTATTTGTGCAATTAGCAGGTGCAGTACCATTGTGGAAATATTTCTTTAGATTGTAATTGTTCTCAATTTTTTTGTGTGGGTAAGGGGGAGGGGAAGCTTAGTTCCACCTTGTAAAAATGTTACGCCGCAGCCCTACGTAGGTTAGGAAAATTGGACACATTTTAAATATTTGGGTTGCATTTTTGTAGAGGCAATTGTTATCATCCCTGCACAGCATTCGTAGCTTTCACAATGATGCATAGGTGCATTAAAACCCCTTCCTAACGGTAATTTGCGTTGAATTATACACAGGTAACCTCCGAAAGCAAACAGTTTTTTAGTTTTTTAAGCCACTTAAACAGATAAAGCAATGCGCAGTTAATGTGTTTTGTCGTCAAATGCATGCAGAATTATCTTCATCACAACCCGACTGCATTTATTTGCACATGTCGTTACCGGCGGCCATAGGCCATTCTGAGGCTTTTGGGGATTGGCAACTCTGAGGGCGCCGCGCTCACTGACTGCTCCTGCCCGAGTCGCCTCCCGCAACCTTCTATTCCAGTGGTTTTGTTAATCTGGGGTGCACGCTGCACCCCCTGGGGGCGCGAGATGCCCCTTCTGGGGGTGCGAGACATGGCCAGATTTTTTTTTTTAGAAGCTAAATCATCGAAAACACAAATTAAGCACGGGCACGTAGTTACAACGACTTTGTTTCATCAAACCTATGTATTTATTAACATTATACTTTTTTATGATTGAGAACCTAAGAGGGGGCGGGGGGGACAGGGGTGCAGGGCTTCAGCAAAGGTTAAGAACCACTGCTCCACTCCAAAACAGAAACGCCGCTCGACCGTGGTGAATGCCATGGCAGCTTGTCCGGTGGTACCAGCGGCACAAGTGAATGTTTGAATTATTTAGTATTTTAAATCACAATCGCGAGGTATTTTAAAGCAAACAACGCGCGTGCCTTGCCGTGCCGTGCCAAAGTTCCGTCATCCTTTTTTCGGTTGTCTTTTATGATCGTGCTGTGTAACAGTAATAATAATGAAGGTGTGCGAGTAGGCGTTGCGGTGCAGAGGTCAGCGCACTCCGTCACTGGCGAGTGACACCAGAACTAGGCCTGGGCCCCACACTTCACCAATCTGCACTGACTAATGTGACAAAGCACGTCTACATAACTAACCCTCATTCTATGCTCCCGAATGGCAATACGTTCAGGAACTAAATGCCGATGTCGAGGTCTGCTAGCCGTGACGGGAGAGCATCAGCACAGAGAGTGCGTGTAGTTTCGCGACTCCGTTGAAGGATGTTGGAATGTATGTTGAACTTCTTTGGTACCGTACGTAGCCAACCGCGCTAATCGGAGGTGCGGTCCTTAGTTCGTGGCAAGATGTTGTCTTCCTCGCCTGGTAGAGGGTCGTGGGTTCGATTCCAACTCTGACGTCTGTATATCTGGAGTTTGCATGTCTCTCTCTCTCTTCCTGTGGCCGCATGGATTTTTCTCCGAATCCTCCGGCTTTTCTCTCCACATTTAGAAACGCGTTTAGAGTATTTGGCTGCTGTAAATTTACACGTAATAAGCCACTTCGGTGGGCTATCATTTGTGATATCCAGGTCGCTTCTGAAAAAGAGCTACATAGCTCAGTGGGCCTTAACTGGTAAAATAAAACATAGTTTAGGTTAGTTTGTGTTTCATGGCCACGGCCGCGTGCAGTACAAACCTCATGGCCCACACGGTGTGTGAAGTGACTTATCCAGCGGTCGATTGACTATATTTGACTCTTTAGATAATGAAAGGTAATGTACGAACGTGCTAAAATAATAACATTTTCAATCGGTGCATTATTGCCAGCTATTACAGGTGGATCGGCAACATCCACATTCATAAATAAAACGGCACAAAAGGATTGACAAAGGCATGTAAATTATTAACGGTGCACTTAGTGCCAATTAGATGCCAATTGATAATCGTTTTTGGGTTAGGGCGCCTACATTTCAAGCCAAACTGTGTCGTAGACCATGAAAATCATGTCTACGTGATCTAATCATGAAATACATTATGATTCATTTCTGATATACTGATAATTCATATTTTTTTGGGTCAGATAAGTGTAATATTGACAGTGCAAACCTACATATTATATTAAACTAATTATTCGGTGCTGCTGCTGCGTTGGCACATAAATGATTACGTGCTAAGCATTTAGGTGCTATGAGGAAGAGCCATTGGAAGAAACGTCGC